AAATAATTATAATATTAATGCTATTTAGAATTTAAAATGACATTGTTCACGCTAATACCCTACTCATCCCTTCCGCAGAATCTACCCTTTCCTTTCTAATGTTTTCGAGGTTCATTCATTCCTGATTATTTAATTGCTTCAGGGATCGCCAGTGCCATGAATATAAAATAATCGAACGACTGAAAGAGAATTCCAAACAGTATTAATATTATATTAATCACGCAAGCTGATAAGTGAAGAGGTGGAATTAAAAAAAATAAAACGATCCACACACGAGAGTTTCTATCGTGGCAGTCGACGCGTTAATTACCCTCTCATCATTCCTTCACCATATTCTCCCCTTTCTGCACTCTTTGAAGGAGACACTGCAACTTCGCAACCCTTCAATTATCATAGGACATACGTTAGCCCTGATACTTTGTTCTGATTAATAGATCGTTTCAAACTATAACAAAAATGCACACATCCTGTCTAGATGATTATAACAGAAAAGGTGAACCTATATAGGGTATAATAAATTAGACCCGCATTCCTTCCGCTTTCAGTTTTTACCTAGACCGTTCTTCCGACGACGCGTGTATTCATCGTACACGATGGAAAAAGGGTTAAAGAAGTCTCGGTGACCACGTATCGACACACTCGCGTGACAAGGTACGCCTCATTGAATATCAGCGCGATAAGGCGTGCCACCTTCGACACCGACACGCGGTTCCGTTCGTTCCGCGGGGCGTGCGTGCTCCTCCGTCCACGTTCTTTTGTTCTTCTCGCCTCGAGATCCGCCGTAAAACGCCGCTCAACACTGTTGAATTAAACGATACTGAAATTCTAATGAGCCGGATGTTCCAGGGATCTGGTGCAGCTGATCTATAATTTCATACCCTCATACATCTGTATGCCTGCATGCACCGGCTTGTTCGTTCGCGAAATAAGAACAAGAAACGAGCGTGTACACACGCGTTATATGTAGCTGGTGTTACAATAAGAATGTCAAACCTTGTAACGATCGTCGATTCGTGTCCGATTACACCGGACAGGAGGGAAGGGTGAAAGTGTCCCGAAGGGTGGGACCTGGTCCGAGCTAAATATAGGAAACGATTTTGGACGACGGGGTAATAGAGAGTGGAACACGGTCAAACACAATGTTTGCGGGCAACGCCTACTACTCGTACTCGTACCGGTTTTTACTGCCCGGGTAGTAAAGAACGAAAATTATGATCGGAGCTTGTCACTGCTCCGGGCGTCGAGAAACTCTCAAAGATCTGCCATCAGAGCCGACCTACACCTTCCCAAAGCTGCTCGTTTCCTCGCGATTCCTACGCTCACGATCGCGTCGTTAACCGGCTGAAAATGTGGCTCAGATCTTTCGAACCGAACGTTCATGCGGGGATTTGAATAAATTTTAATGGTTAAGGGTGTTACTTTAGGTTTCAATTAAATGTACAAAGTGGTAACATGGAAATTAATACAGGTGGGACTCGTATGTTCCATCCATGGATTTCTAAAAATAATAAGTTCATCGCAAACTATCACTTCCAGTTACAACATTCCAAGACACAGCTATATAAATTCTTACGAATGGAAATGAGGAGGAATAAAAAAGAAACTATGAAACTAGAGAGGAGAGAAAGTCTTCGTTTTGCGAGATGCGAGCGCAATTACAGCGAACGATAAAAGTGTTACTTCGCGCTGTAATTTAGAAATATTTTTACGTCGTTTTGATTTGGCAGGGAAACGACAGCCGAGAAGAATAAAACTGCCACTTGGCCGTGCAATTTGTCCGCCAGTTTCCACGCTGCTCCTGTTTATATTCTACTTTCCACCAGCTGCTTGCGTTTTCCCCTCTCGACGATAGAACCGTAAAATTGAACCATAAAAAAGCAAGGTGTGCTGAGAAACCTTGTGCGCCGTTTTTTTTTGCACTTCAACCCTCTGTCTACCAGTGAACGACTTAAAATTATAACCATAAACGGTAACTTTAGAGAAGATAAAAATTGACCACTAATAAATTCCTGTTATTGAAATAGAATACCAAATATCAATTATCTGACAAGATTCGAGCCATGGAATTTGGGGTACGTCTCTTGAATAGTTCGGGAAAGGGGGTTGAAAAGGGGCGCTGATTAAGTCTCCAATTATCCGTCGATTCTTAGGACCAGGGTGAACTCTTTTTAAAGTAGAAAGTTTCGCATTGGCAGGAGGACCTATCGGCTTTAGGAAAGTTCTGCGGTGGCTCGTCACAAGCGAGGTCCTCTCGTCGCCTAATTGAATGGCATTTTATTTAGCACAGTTCCCCGCACTCTGGATAGCCTCCATTTACCTCAATTACGTAATTCACCGTACACAACCGACCGCGTAGCTACCCACCATGGGCATTGCATGGTGATGGCTATACCGATGCCGATGCTGATGGTGTTGGTGGTGGTGGCCAACTGATGACACGTGTTTGCGCTACCGCCGCCGTGCAATTAGCCCCCCAATGTAATTTCGCGTTGTAAGAGCGTGCCACGCTCTTTTGGCCTAGTACCGTAGCTGAGGGCGCATCGGTTATACCCCGGTATTATCAACAGGGAAGTGATTTTCATCGGAAGACGTAGAAAAATTCGATTTTAAACACCTTACCGCCGGCAGTTCATTCAATTATTTTTGTATCCGATTACATTGATTAATGGAACAAATTTGTTTAAAGGACCCACTGATTAAAATCTGTGTGTTTTCATCTCCTTCCTGGTCTTTTTCTTAACATGGAAATCATTTTCCTACGGTTTCCATTTGTCCGCTATTGTGTAATTAATCTCACGTGCCTGGATGACCGTATTGGGAATAAATATTCGTGTAATTGAAGCATCGAGTAGGTGTGCGCTGCTGGAACGTGATGCAATGTTAATGAACGGTGTATTATCCGGCAACTGGTATCATTGCAGACGATACCCGCAGTCAGGACGGTAATTGTGTTCAACGATGCTGATTAGGCGTAATTATCATTCGGTTGAAGAAATGTCCCCGTGTCGCGACGACAATGCGACAGACTCTACTTTGTTTCCACTACCGATTCATCCACTTCATTTTGATTTTTCGTGCGTTTAATCCGACAGATAGATCCCAAACACCATTATTTCATTCAAGTGCCATTTTTCTGAATAATCACAATTATATCATATCTTACTACATCACGTGTTAAAATTATTATCAATGACTTGAACGTGGCAAACAATGCGCCGTGCTGAAAGAGGATAATGAAAAATTGCCGAGGGAGAGAAACTGTGAATTAAAAATAAAAAAATAAAAAGAGAGGAAAAATAAAGTCCATTCTGGGAAGACGATTAGGAACGATCAGATAAGGGTCTCGACCGCGAGGAACGTGTAGTTTCCTGGTTGCTCGAAGACTCTCGGCTTAATTAGACGTTTGCTGTCGTCCTGATTTTGTCAGCTTTAATCTCGCCACGTAACCGGGGCCAATAACGCTCATCCGAGCCACGATCAAACATCGATCATATCGAGTACGCTAACTAAATATTTGAAGATGACGCGATATCAACTTGCTCATCACAATTGCCGCGATAAAAACACGAACCACTACTGTTAATAACGTGGAAGCTTCTTTATATGGGCGAAAGGATTACGAAATTCGTCCCTTCGGGGGATTACACGGAGATAATACGAGGAACGTGGTTTCAATCGTAAACACAGAAGTTGCTCGATCGTGGCACGAAATTGCAGGGAAAGGACAATTATTTGCATTAAATTAATTGTACGGGGGAGGGGAGACGTGGGCGAAGCAACCACGCTTTTGATTATCCGCGAAAGAGATCTGATCCTTTTCTTCTACCTTCACCTGTCTACCATGCTGCATTCATGCAGATATGATCAGCAGAAAGTATGTGATTGGTTATGAAATTTGCTTTCTGTATAAATTTATATTTCGGCTCCTCATTATTGATTTTCACAAAGGAGCAATTCTGTTCGTTTAAAGCATCCTCGTTTAATCAAGGTTCGTTCTATAGATTACGTAATGAAAAATTATTGTTTTCGAATCTTCAAAAAGTGGATCCAAGCAATTAGCAGGAAAGTTGCGTGCACACGAGGACGGAAAAACGTGTCGTTCGGACCGCTCCACCTCCATCTACCAGCGGTCCACTCCTTTCGCGGTGAGTTAATGGGCGGAGCCAAGGACGTTGCAGCCAAACTGTCACGATGACGTTTGAACGTCTTTCATTGCGATATATCTCCTTGATTTCTCGTTTGGATAACGTGAATACGCTAAATCACTATCTACTTGCCCAGAAACGTGTTGTACCAAATGCCTTCACAAGTGGGGTGCATCCCCCTGTCCATTTTCCAATTCAAAATGTGATCAACAATAGCAGAAAACTTCCAGGACGAAGTCCAGTAAAATACATTAAAGATAAATATGAGAACGAAAGAAGAAACTTTATAGAGTAAAGATACTCCAATTTCAGCAAATGAAACAAAGACTCCAGGCATCCAGTCTGAGGCAACGAAATCCACTCGCGTCCCAGATGTCAGCGTCGCCCTCAACCCTCGACTCTCCTCGAATTCGCGGTTGATAGGGAACGGGGGAGTCTCGAAGCTGTTGAATTTCTGCGCTCTATGCATACAAGCGATGCTCGTCGAGCGTGGTCTCTGGCTTTCTTGCCGAGGTATACCCCCGACGGAGTCAGTCAGGAGTAGTGGCAGCGTAGTGCGCGTACGACGAACGAAAAGGGTCCTCGGACAGGTAAAGAAAACACCTTTACGAGCAGTGCCTCGAGGGCGTCGGGCGAACGGAGGGAGTGGACTGAAAAGGCGACGGCCCACTTGGACACCATAATGGCCTCCGTGCGGCGAATGAGTCGGTTCGACGTCATAGCCTAGCGGTGGGGATGAGGTCGGCGAGCCAATGAGGGGGCGCAATAACGGCTGGGGAAGGCGTGGCCTTGAGTGGCGCCACCGCGGCGGCTTTCGGAAACCGTGCACCGGGCTCCGGGGAGAGGCTCCGGCTTCATTATGTATCATTATACCGGTCCGCGCCGCGCGGTGTGCACTGCAGTTACTGGGCCAGGCGCGCGTGTGTGCTTTTCTCTCTTCTTCGTCGTCATCGTCGTCGTCGTCATCTTCTTCTTCTTCTTCTTCCTTTCCACGCTGGCCGGCGAATCGTCGCGACCGTTCACGTCGGCACCACGATGATCATCGGCGAATAATCACGGCGACGCGCGTGGAAAAAGTCACTTGCTGGCTGCTGTTCAGCGAGCGTGCGCGCGCGCGCACGCGTGTGTCATCGGCAACGTACAATTAAATCACGGCTACGCAATTCGCGCGAGTGTACTGTCACGGCCCAGTCGTATCAGCAGATTACTGGTTCCCGTCGGAGAAGCTGGACCGACCGGGTGATCCGGCAGTCCAACCGTTGCTCATCGGTTCACGTTCGCGTACATCCGATCGTTGCCGCGACATCTCCCCCCGGGTGGTGCACATCGCGTAATCGCGTGTCGAAAGTGACGTACGATCAGTGATCGAGAGGCTGGAGCAACACGCGCTCCGTCGCGCAGTGGAAGGTATCAGTATGTTGATGTCCAGTCGGTTCGGTCCCGAGGAACGATACGTTCGATGTAAATCGGCAACGAGCTGACGTGAACAACGCTCGTGCAGTGACGTACGACATCGCTTGTGTACGACTGTTGTGTGTCTGTTCGAAAAGCACAGCCTTTGGATTGAATCTACCAGCTAAAAAGCTTGCGCGGGTGAAGTGATCAGTGGACCCAACAGCCGAACAGACTCAGACTTCCCGCGCGAAATCTCAAGACAGTGAATATGTGAACTATAACACCTAGTGACAATCCGAACGTCTCGTTCTTTCCAACGTGACAGTGAAACTTGATACCAAATTAGCCCCGGATCGATCACAACAATCAGCGGTTGATTGAGAGTAGCCGAAGGTACGGCCAGGGATTATCTTGAACCAATGTCTACCCCTTCAGCCAGCGAGTTAATTTTGTTACCATAATTGAGGTGACCAGTTGGTTCACGTGGAACAGAAGCCCCAAGATTCGGGCCCCATACGGTGTTCGCGCGACGGCGGCGGCGACGACGTCGTCGGCGAGTTTGTCCGCGAGAACGGTAGGCTGTGGCGGCGGCATCGACGTCGCGACTAAGGTGGAGCGTCCGGGCAGCACGACGACGCTCAACTTCACGGACCTGGGGAGCCCATTCGGGGCGGGCGACCCCTGTCCGTCTAGTACCCCGACCCCGAATAGTATGTCGGGAGGCGGTGGACCGTCTGGTGGTGGCGGTGGTGGAGGTGGCGGTGGTGCAGGTGCAGGAGGCGGTGGTTCCGACATGGAACAACATCTTCATCACACGGGTTTGGGTTCGGTGACACCTGGACCACCCGGTGGTAACGGTGGTGACAGTACGACGTCTAGTACCCCAGTTTCTCAAAGTGGCAAGTCGGCGTTCATCGAGTTGCAACACAATAATCTGTACAATCCCGCCAGTCTTCGTGGTGGTTATCCCGGCGGACACAATGTGCCCGGTGCTCATCAGTTCTCGCATCAAGTTGGCGCGCTAGGTCATCAAACGTCCGGACCAGGCAGCGGGAATCAACAACACGCGGAGGCAGGATTCCCCAGTCCTAGGTCCGCGCTAGCCGGATATCCGTTCCCACCCATGCACCAGCACAACGCCTACGGATATCACCTGGGATCGTACGCGCCCCAATGCCCCTCGCCGCCCAAGGACGGTGAGTACCCCAACTGTATGTATCCGCAGCCATTTTTATTCCTAATATTATATTAGATATAGTTAACCCGGTTCCTCGTCCCCTGGAAATCATTGGAACACCGTTCCCAATGTGTAGTGCTACGTTTCATGGTCTCGATATGATGCAGGGAAGAATTGGGAAGTTTGGTCGGTGTTCCTGTGCATGGAAGTGGTGTTTCAGTGATTTCGTGGAACGAGGGACCGTCGAAGGGCTTACAGTGAAGATCAGTGCATTGTCTTTCGAGTGGAATCACTGCAAGCCCTTCGTAGCATTAGTTAGATAAATGAGAACGGTATTTCCACTTGATTCGCGCCTAAATAAAATATAAAAAAATTAAAAGATCCATTGTGTTAGCGGTTAAACCCTGTGGTGATGATGTCTAGAAATGTAGCGTAAACGGTCCTGTGGATGATAAGCATTATCCATTTTGAAATTCAGAAGAAATTCCATTATTGCATAAAACACAGTGGTACTTAAAGTACCCTATCCTCCAGCAAGTTCCCAGCCAAAATACATTACCGAAAGGTATCTTCAGCTTACGAAATCCTAATTTGTCAGCAATTACGTATATAAAAAAGTTGTTCGATATTATTCGCCGAAGTGGCCCTCTCATTGGGAGGTCGGATCATCGTGAACACATCACGGTGCGTGAACGCGTGGCCATCAGGCGCCGAGTCGAAGTCGTAAACCTCTTGTTCGTCGTTTGTATGTTGATTTCGCCGCTGGTAGAAGGAGCGGAGTGGTCGAAAAAGAAAAAAGGAAGGAAAACGGAAGAGAGAATCTGGAGTAGCAGGTAGTGGTCGGTCGACGGCCTGCCGTTCGACGGGCACAATAACGCCGAGAAGCGGAATAAGATATACGGCTAGGAAAAAGAATCCTCTTGGGATCCGAAAAAGTCCCGCAAAGCGGCTAACGAACGAAACAAAAAGCCTCCTGGCCTGAATGAGAACAGAACTCGCGGTCCTCCCCGTGTCCTCGAACTGTTCTCCTAGATATTCAAACCTCCGGATACGCAACTGTTCTTCAGTCTTTTCAACGTCCTCTTCGTCGTTCCCTTGAAATCTCCACGTAGCGACGCAATCGCGACGCGGATATTTTTTCCTCTCGGCTAAAAGTCGCGAGTCAGCTAATTACGCTTCTGGATTACTAGACACTTTTGCCTTGATGTTCTCGATCGACGAAAGAAACGTTTCAGTATTGATCCACCACTTGCTGACCTCGTCACTACGACGTCTGATGATGAATATTATACTTGGCCGTTAGAATTGACGATTCAACCGCATCTAATATTCGCTCTGCTTTGCTGAAATCGAGCATCCGTTTCCTTGATGAAGCTGTCAGTCTCCGCGTCCTTAAGAACCGATAATAGCTTCAGGTTATCCGGAATACGAAGAATAAGGAGAGAATTTTAATACAAACTGAATGATTGTACATGAAATATACGGTTGGGTTAAAATTGACTGATGTTAATTAATTAATTAAAAGAAACATACCTAGGTATCTCGAGGAACAGGCTATAGGATCGCTGGCTGTCTTAGCTGAGCAGCAACCCCATGCAACCCCTTCTTTCCTCGTAAATGAATAATGACCGTTGTTCTTCTTCCTTTCCACCTGTCCTTCGTTCCCTGAATATCCACGATATCCGTTGTTTTATTATGGAAACCCATCGCAAAGACTTTCACCCCTTCGCTTCGGATCCACCCCCTTCGCGTAGTTCGAAGCACAAGTACATCGGTTATAGGTAATCTCGAATCGACAGTTTCGTCGAAATTACTAGGAAAAAGGATAAATTCCCGATGATACAATCCACGGAAGGGTTCGTCCCTCGCGAGAGTTTTTCCTCAACCCCTTAAGAATCCAAAGGGCTGAACTCTCGACAATTTTTTCCCCCCATTCTCGCGTATCGTCGCTCTTTCCTTTCGTTCGGAAAGTTGTAAATGCTCGACCATTGAGAATAATACCGGTGATTGCGTTGTCTCGCGAATAGTCCAGTTTCTGAAAGGGTAGACATTGCAACCACGATTTCAAGAAAACGTCCAGATTATGGGTCATTTTCTCTCGTTAGGATGACCGTTTCTTTGGGGTCGAGTTCTAAGAACAGCCTGGACAACTGTGATCAGTTTTTTGTTCTCAAGTAAAAATTGGATTAACCAATCGGAAGATTTCGGAAGGGGTGAATCTATATTGTTTCGATCATACTCGACAGGGAGTCTTTTGAACGCGTTCGCGATCGTTTCATCGATGAATGGCCACGTGCCACTACGTGGTTATCGATTGCTCGTGATTCTTCCGCGTCAATGAGTAGCTGTACCATTTTTTCGAACCAGGATCAGTTTGTCTTTCGCGAGTCGAGATTCGCCGCAATTGTTCCGTGTTTAATTAGTGAACGCGAATTTATCGTGGTCCGATCGTCGGTGTGATTAATCGTTTACAAGTGGCTCGTTTGCGCGTGTGACAAATTGCGAGAGCCGGCTGGTGGTCAATGTTGTCCGTAAGCGAGGCTGATGGAGACGATTGAATTAATTAAATAACAAATATCGTATTAGGAATCGCGATCGAGCTAATTACCCAGCTGCACGCTATTGTTTGCGCATCCTCCTCAGGCTACGAACTACTACCTTTCCGTCGTTCCTATTTGCTGCACTTTCTGATCTTCGATAAAATATTGTTCAAGTTAAATATTGGTTATTTAATAATTGAACAGACAAACAGCTGTAGTTAAAAAATTATCTAAATCATGTGTCTTTTGAATTACTCTAAATACCCTTGTTATAGTGCTATATTACTTATTTAAGGACACCTTTTTCTTTATAATTACACTAATTCACTTTTCGTCTAAAGATAGATGATTAAGTGTTAATAAGTAACAAGTTACTTTTATCACAAATAACTATCATCAATGTTATAAAAGGAGTAGTTAAAACTTTCATAAGCTAGAATATTTATACTGTTAGATAGCTAGAATTAGATATCTTAATTCGTTTCTATCATCAAATTAACACCTCCTCGTTGGCATCATTTACCCTTACTGTCAACTAATTATCAGAGCTAACTTCGCAGTCGGCAAACTTCAAAAATAATATATGTATTCATTTTTTTTTAAATATGCGCTCCTGATTTATATTTATGACAGTTTAAAATATGAAGGTATGTTTAAAATATGAAGTCATTTAAAAACCAAATTTTTACTCCATTTGAATTTAAAAACTACACTTCATGAAATAAATTTCTAAGGAAATTTATGCGATATGTGGACTGAGCTGCAACTGAGTAACCATAAGATTGATGCGAAATTGTCTTTTACTGTCTGTTAACTATATTTTACCGTCTTTCGCTGTTAAAGTCTTTTGAGATATTGCTTGCTGGTTTACACCTAAGGTATAGCTCGAACGAAGACGATCTCGTATCGTATCGTGTACACAAGCGACCCAGTATCCACCACACGATTTCACACTCGACGATGCGCAAACACAGCGGCTCCCTCAGGTGGTAGCGTGTATCAGCGACCAATCTCGTGGTCACGACAAATGAACCAGCCATTAACATCAGCCCTGTTCAGCCTGCCTCGTTGCCTTGTCATCGGCGAGTCGAGTCGCGGCCAGTAAACCTCCGAACGAAGAATCCAATTAGCGTTAAGGCTACCTTAGCCGAACTCGACATTAGTCACCGGGGACCCGACAGCAACTAGGCACCGGTCAAATTAATCCGGAACGGTTCAAAGACAATAAGGACCTCCGAGTGCTGTCCGTGCTTCGGGGCCCTGATGGATTAGGTATTAAACGGTTGTTTTCACAAGGATTAGGAACACCGACCTGGAACACGCCTAGATCAAATCTTCAAACCGGGCTGCTTGCTCCTCGGGATGATGGTGACGAGGATGGAGGAGCTTCGAGGATTTGCGTGGAAGTCGTGTTTTCTTCGGGGTAGATGGGGTAGAGAAAAGAAGGGTTAGAAATGGTCGCGCAAAGTCTAATTCTTCTTCCTTCTTCGTTTAACTCATAGAAGATCGAGTACGAACAAGGGAATTATTTCTGTAATCAGTACACGAAATCTGGTTGCGTTAATCGTCCCGCAATTCCAAAAATTAGAGCGTTCTTTCGCGTTCGATCGAGGGTGCATTAATCGAGGAGCAGGCGAATGTAGGGCAACGAATTGGTAGTTGAAGAGCGATTATTGTCGTCCAGTAATCTCGCGGAGGCTGTACGTAAAGTCGAGTACACGCGTCCAACAAGGAGTCGTGAACGCACGACCGTTCGCAAATGACCCGTGCGAATTACGGCAAAGTGGTGGTTTCGAAGCGATGGAGCAGTTTTCAGCGAGCGTTTTGCATACGCCGCCGCCGCGATAATGACTTCGAGCTTTCGCAGGCGATGGAGAGAAAAAATGTGTCGTAAAATGCGGCTCCTTCCACCATGATTTTTACTATAATAGTTTCTTCGTTGAGAAAAAAATTCTAATGTCAAAAATATCGCAGCCCCTTTTATAAAAATTCATTTGCATAAAAAATTAGCATCCGTTTAATCACGCGATTGCGTAGCGTCCCTGTCTACCAGTGTCACCTCCTAATTGCGAAAAAACGACCAGCTTATCGTCCATTTTTACGCGCGATCGAAGTACCTCGTGCCATTTCGCGATCGATCTTAAAACTCGTTGATCCGCGGGTCAACGTTGCACGCCCCGGTTCGCGGTGACACGACCTGGTAATAAATCATTAGAATCGTAACGCGTATGCACGTAAGCATGTCCGGCCGTTCACCATAAATTAAGTTAATTAATAGTCACGGTTATTATCGCGCAGGAAAAAGGTTCTGCGGCCAGTCCGGTGTTACGTTACTCGGTTAATTCTAAGTCTCGTCGACATCTCACTCGACTTTACCATCCACCTTAGCCAATTTACCATCAAGTTTCTCACGGGCACGATATTTCAGGGAATTATTTAAAAGTGACAATGCGGGCGTATCGCGCGTATTGTTTAGATTTTTAAACGACTTAAGTTACGATCAAGGATCCACACTGGACCCCGTATTACGCTACATTCTAATTAGGGTATAAACATAATGGCGCGATCGTACGTACGATAACGTTAGCGGTGCTCTGGTTCGATGCGTTTATTTAGTCGGTAATTAATTTATAGCAATTCTTTATAATTAATTACACTCGGTTAGCAGTGCGATATAATTTGACCGCGATAACGATCTAGCTCCGGACAAATTATCCTGAGATTAAGTGTCGAGCGACGGTGGTTGGGTCAATTGTGACCTAGTCGAATGTAACGAGTGCAATTGCGTATTTACCATCGAACGGGTTGATGGCTTAATTTATCACCGGGTTAGGATAGTTAAATTGATTTTCTTATATTTCGTTTCGAATTCAGTTCGGTATGGTAGGTTTTTGTTAAATTTCTCTTTAGTTCGTACGCCACCGGTGAAGGGATCCTGAAAGTTGATGTTAGGGTGGTGCATGTTCGCAGACCTCTCGCCATTGGGTGACAAGGGTGGCAGCCTGGTGGACGAACTGGGTGGCGGTGGAGGTGGTTCCCTGAGAAACGGCAAGGGTAAGAAGATGAGGAAACCACGGACGATCTATAGCAGCTTGCAATTGCAACAGCTCAACAGGCGGTTCCAGAGGACACAGTACCTAGCGCTACCGGAAAGAGCCGAATTAGCGGCGAGTCTCGGATTGACGCAAACGCAGGTCAGTTTCTTTTCTACGTATCTTCCTCTTTTCTCGTTTCTCGTGTTGCTCGATCGATTCTCTCCCACGGAAGCAACAACCCACGCACCACGTTCTCACGTGCGCGTTCGTCGCACGGATGATGTACGCTACACGCATTCGCGTACACACCTTCTTTCGTGACTTATCGTGTCCGGAGTTGGATACATTTTCGCGTTATCTTCGCAATGATTTTTATGGAGGGAGGAGTACATTGAAAAATAGACATTTTTACACAATAATAACTTACGTAGAGATTGTTTACGCGAAACTGTGGCGAAACGTTCGCGAAAAATCGTCGAGTTTCACGTTCAACCCCCGTGAATCCACGAGGAGATCCTGTTGCACGGACAGTGGAGCGTAACAGGAGCCTGAATGGACGGCATCTGTCAGCATTATCGGCACAAATGACTTTACTAAATCACCGATCCGCCACGCCCTGGACATCAGGGATAGGGTTGCCGTAGTGTCCACTGCGTCAACAGAGGGAGAATACACTGGAAGGGTTAACGAGACGGTCATAAATATTCCCGGCCGCGAAGTTTTTCAGCTTTTTCGCGCGACGATCGACAGACTTTCCGCCAATTATCCAGCCTGGTTTCCAATTAACGATTTATTAGGCGCACCGGGGAGGATCGTGGTCAAAAGCTAATTGGAGCTGGTCTCCTCGAAGCCATGAATTTCTCGCGGATAGTCCCACGGTTTCCAATTAACGATTTATTAGATCGCGATCGTGACTCGGAGCTAATTGAAGCGAACCTTCTCCGCACCACCAATCTTTCTTCGACTCTTCTCGCGTCGGATATCGTGCGCCTTTTTTCAATTATTTTTGTAAGAATTCCGCAGCCCGAACCTTTGCCCACAGGGTCGTAATATCAAAATAAAATTGTTCGATAAGCAATCGAATTTCTTTTAAAAATCTGAAAAAATTATAGAGTTGAACCGCAAGATTGAAGACGTCAAATGGCTAAACATTTTCTCATAGGTAGGCGCACCGTGATACGTAACTGGATATCGCGTAATCACGGGATAACTGGCTTGCTGATGCCGTCGCAGGGGGTCCCGGACCGGATAATTTCATTAGTCCAAGCTCTGCGGGAGTTACTCCCCTCTCTCATTCAGAAAATCGAGCTCGACGCGACCTGATGAGCAATCGCGTCAGGTTGTTTTCGAAATAACACCGGGAAGAGCATTCCGGCGATGATTTTGTAAAGAAAATTCGAAATCGTTATACTTAAATCACAATACCTTTCTCAAAGGGGTAGTTTTCAGAAGGTTTGTAAACCTGAATCTTCTCCAATACCAAATACTTAGAAAACACAGCCGCCAGCTTTGGTATCCGCGAGGCGTCCCGCGATCGGTGCATCTCTTCAGGGTGCACCGTGTATAATCAGTAATCGGCCAATCGAGGCGTCCGAGCAAGCGCCTCTGCTCGCTCCGTTGGTCCTGCTACCGTCGCATCGGGTTTCTTGTCATCGCCAGCAACATGGCGCCTACTAGCCTTCGCTGCTCTTCCATCTTCCCTTCGTTGCTCTGTTCTCCTCCCTCTCCTCCTCCTCCGGCTTCGTACCCGCGCCTTTCTCTGGCTTCTTGCCGGTGGTGTTCGACTTCGCCACGGGAAGAAGAGCGAGGAGAGAAGCCGGGTAGAGGATCGAGAAGTGAGGCCACGCATCTCTTTTTCTTCGGGGCTTCAATTTGAAGACGTGGTAGCTCGTTCGTGCTGCCGGTGCGCATCGGGGAGAGACGAAGGAGAGACGGCCGACAAGGATGGAGTTACTTGTACACGCGAAGTACACACGGCCAACGGCTAACCCGTGTACATGCACGAGGATAGACACGTAGGCAAGGATATACATAGGTACCAACACGAATGTCTGCGTTCCTGCCACGTACCTTGGGCGTGGTGGTTCCTTTTTCTTCGTCTTCGCCGACCAACGTGGCCGATCTCTCCTCATTGGCCCTGGGAATGCCAACGCGTCGAAACGAGATTCGAAAGTCGCGTACAGGCGGGAAGCGGCACGCCAAGTGAATTCGAAATCTGAATCCTCTCTAGACACGGTACCCCCGAGGCTTAGCCGAGGGTGAACTCTCCGACGTCTCTCGTCAGCATCGAAACAGCGGTGGATCTTATACACTTTGTTGTCAATTATTGAAACGGAGGCAAGAGGGACCTGAGGCTGTCGGTATCGATACTCCACCTCATCGATCCACCGAACTACCCTCCAGGGATAAGATAATGCCGTCACTCGACGGGCGATGTACGAAACGATCGATCGTTAGCGCAACGCCTTAGCTGGATAGTTTAAAGATTTGAAATTTTTGTTGGAAAGCGAATAGAATTGTTTATGGTTCTCGCGTTTCACAAGAACAAAATGGAAGTATGGATGAGAAACCTTTCGCACGATCAGTCGAATCGATTTAGAGATAAGGTAGTAGATTCTACTCTTGGATAGATCTTCGGTTCCTTTCTCTCTGCACTCTATGGAAAATGGAAAAACTGCCCTCGTTGCAATTTTCTTCTTAATCCGGTACCGGTGTGCCAACACCGGATCACTTGCGAAACATTGTCGTAGCAGATCCGCGAATAAGCACGCGTACACGCGTCTCTCCGCCCTGTATCCACCACCTTTCCCTCGCTTTCCGCTCATTTATCTGCGTCCATTTATCTGCCTATCACTGGCGTCGCCCGTGCACATGCCGCCGGTGCTACCTCGTCGAGGCTTTCGACCCGTTATCGAAGCGGATCGCTCGGATAACTCGATTTCTCGCCACGGAACAATGAATCGGTTAATTAATGATCCCTTGCTACGGATATCGCGGATGAATCGGGAACGATACCAAGGAAATATTATCTCTCTCTTGTCATACATGGATTTCTCGGTCGATCCTATGAACTTTGTCCGTGAATTTTATCCCTTAAGTTTATCTGTCTCTCTTCGCGTTATCAGATTCAACGCGGATTCGAAGCGGATCGCCGCGCTGTCGCTGCGAGTTTTGTAGGTTAGATTGTATTAGATAATGGGATCCAGTCGCGGAACAATGGCTCGAATATAATTGATGATTCCGCTGGACGGGCTCGCGTATGAATCATTAGGCGAACGCCGCTTGTTCAGAACAGCGTTAGGCGACGGCCGCGTGAAAGTGGTGCGCTAAGTTCGAGTTGAATGTCGGTCGCATTGTGTTCCGAGCATTAGGCGTTCTCCACTCTGATAGTAATTGATATGTACCAGTTCGTCGAGGGAATTCTGGGAGAATGTGTCATTGAAGTAACGCCGGAAAATGTTGGCAAAGTATAAAATTTTGGGAATTTTAATGATCTTTGAGTCCTCGAAACTCTTTCGCTATTTCCTACCATTATAGCAATTTGAAAGTCTTCTGTACAAAGTATTGCTCGAAGGCGAGTAATTAACCAGCTCCTTATCCTTCCTTCGGCCTAATTGGCTTTCCCGCAGACCTTGTCAATTTCTCTTCCCCCTGGGCTTCTTTCGATGCTTCTGCTCACCAAACCGGCATTGAACCACTCTTATCGCGCTCTATTATCTCATCGACGGTGTCGGCCGGTTCGTGCGCGTCAAGATAGGGATGTGTCCAATGGTGCCGCGTGACCAGCTTTAAGTCCTGTCTCTATGTTACGTTCGCGGGCACAGGTACGCCCGCTACTCTGCCGGCTGTTATCGACGAGCTGAATAAAACTAATAGAGGTTCGACCGACATGTCGCTATCGGCTTGTATCTGTCGACCGACGTCCACCGTCTACAAATGGGAAAGTTTCGCGGCTAAACACGCGATCCGCGGCATGGCACGACTGATTACACCGGGGTCGTTCGTGTACCACTACACGCTCGCCCTTGTGTATTTTCGTACGACCAGCGCGATCCACGTGAATCGTGGCACGATATTGTTTAATTCAATTTCAGTCGCTGGCTCGTTAACCCTTGTGTGCTTACGAGGCTCTTTTCGAACCCTTTGTAGCCTCGTGATGCATGGAAGTTGACGCTGGGTGTGATGTTTTAATATTGCGTTCTACTACTTTCCTGATGAAGATCCTCTTCAAGATTCTACGTCGTAACGCTATTTATTAAGAAAATTCTTGAATGATTATCAGATTTCGTGTACTTTGATTTAGCAGCAACCATAGCGCACAAAACCCTTTATTTGCAACCCAGGGTATTTTATCATGAAATGTCTAGCGATTAAACTTTTCTTCGAATTCGACGAAAGTTGTACACCATGCGACACGTCGCAGGATTGATGTTTCCGTCGTCTAATGACCCACGTTGCGGCTCCAATCATATATCCTCGCGTTTAGCGTGTACTTTCCTTCACCCAGATACCATAACGTTTTTACTACATCAAAATGTCACCTTTCTTTCATGCACCGTTCATATTTCATTAACCTTGACACAGTACCAGTTGGACGGGAAAAAGGACGAGGTTTATCCTTGTCGAAAGCGAGATTTTAGGAAGTCGAACGATCGAGGTATCGGCATCGTTGCACCGCGAATTTCACGCCGGTTATCGGTCGCGCTCTCGTTAATATTTGACACGTTCGATCGCGTGCTACTTTTTGCGATCTCGCGCGAGGAAAACGCATTTAACCGTTTCTTCGATGAAAAGAAAAAACTGAATCTAGTAATACTAGTTTTTCTGACAGCCTACGAAGCCGCGTTCGACGTTGTTGCGTTGCGTTACATTTTTCGCGATCAAAACTATGCAAAGTAATTAATAGTGCTCAATGGGGCGAAGAATGAATTTGCAGAAACATTGTGTCGATTCCCGATTGCACGCACAACGTACGTAACTACGTATCCTTGAAAGAATTCCTTACTTTTTTCTTCGAACTGCGTTCACCACCGACTTTCATAGATTTATCGAATCTGCCGATTGCGGTTCGATTGTTTCTCTTTTTTCTTTTGCAATCACGTAGTATCAATATGGCGAGTTGCGGTTGATTTTTCGTATAAGAAATCCCTCGTTTATTG